TGTTTGGAAGCGAGGCGGGAGGACACACAAGGGAAGGGGGGGGGGAGGAAGGGGAGGAAAGGGAAAGGGGAAAGAAGGGGAGGAAAGGGAAAGGGGAAGATATGGAAGGAAAAGGAAAGGGGAAAGAGAGTAAAGGGAAAGGCAGGGTGGGAGAGAAGGGAAAGGAAGGAAGGGGAGGAAAGGGAAAGGAGAGGGAAGAGGAGGGGAGTGAACACGAGGGGAAGAGGAAACGGAGAAGGAAGAGGAAAGGGGGAGGAAAGACTGGGATGGAAGAGGAAGATAAGGAAGAGAGGAGGAGGAAGAGGAGGAGGAGGAGGAGGAGGAGGAGAAGCAGGAAGAGGAAGAGGAGGAGGAGGGGAAGCAGAGGAGGAGAGTAAAGGGGATAAATGGGGGAAAGCGGGAATGAAAAGTGAGAAGGAAAAGAAAAAAAGAGAGAGACAGGCGGCAAGAAGAAAAAGGGGAGAGACCACACACGTGCTTCCTTCTGAACGGGCGAAAGCCGGAAGACGATGGGGGCGTGGGTAGGGGTGGGTGGGGAGGGTTACACACCTATCCCCGGATTTCCATTGTCTGCGTTTCATCATAAAAAAAACAACCCTGCAATAAATTACGGAGAGGAGTGAGAAAAAAGGAGGATATGGAAAAAAAGAGAAAGATTTGGATAAGCCGACAAGAAGATAAAGCAAGAATCAACAACAACACGCACACACACACAAAAAAAAATAAATAAAAAAAACAGCAAAAGTAAAACCCTAAGAAAATTACCTGTAGATCAGATTTTCCTTTTAAACTGGCATTACTGATAAAAAGGGTAAAGATGGAAAAAGGGAAAAATAATCTTCCAAATCCAATGAGCGTCGATGCGCTTATAAGGAAGGGGTTTTCAAGTGGCAGAATTTACCGCCCAAAGACTCCGGTCCATAGACTGCTGACTGTGATTTATCTTTCGCGGTTTCCGAATATTTGGGGAAGGAAGTCTCCGAGGACAGAATTCCGTTCAACTGCGATTCATTTTCTTCAATGGCTGAGAGGAGATAGATACATCTTTTTTTCTCTCTCAGGAAGTGGGGGAGGATGAGGTGAGAAATTCTGATTAATGAAAGAGAAAAAGAGGTGGATATTTATTCTTTTTTTTTCTTCTCCGTTCTCTCTCTCTCTCTCTCTCTCTATCTATCTTTCTATCTCTCTCTCTCTCTCTCTCTCTCTCCCCCTCTCTCTCTATCTGTCTATCTCTATCTCTCTCCTTTTATGGCCACAAAATTAAGAATTCCCCGCCATCATCGTCACTTTAAGACGAGGATGCAACCAGTACACTTGGCAGCCTTCCCGCATGACGTGACGAGACTTCAAAGTGGTCGGCAAGCAGCATCCAAGCATAGGCAAGTACTCACTTCACCTCAACCATGGCAGCATTTAATATATATATATATATATATCTTTCTCTCTCTCTCTATCTGTCTATCTCTATCTCTCTCCTTTTATGGCCACAAAATTAAGAATTCCCCGCCATCATCGTCACTTTAAGACGAGGATGCAACCAGTACACTTGGCAGCCTTCCCGCATGACGTGACGAGACTTCAAAGTGGTCGGCAAGCAGCATCCAAGCATAGGCAAGTACTCACTTCACCTCAACCATGGCAGCATTTACCCCCCTCCCCTCCCCTCCCCTTCCTCTTTCCTCCCTCTCCGCCCTTTGCGCAATGTACCACAGCCAGCCTTATTAGAAGGCTGACCTCACTGCAGTATCCAGCGCTCCGGCTTCAAAAGAATATCTGTTCCTCCTCCGCTACAGGAACTGACTCGCTGCCTTGTCGAAGGAGAAAACGGGAGGACTACAAGCGTGCGAGAATTGCCCGGGGCGGTTGCGAGTCTGCTCTGGAGTTGAGTGCAGGCATGGGGGGGAATGGGGGTTGGGGAGCTTAACAAGAAATGGGGGAGGGGGGAAACCCAGGCGAGGTGGGGGGGGGGGGTGGAGGGAACTCAGGAAGAATCGGAGAGCGGACATCGGAGTCACGCCGCTTCCAGGCTCTCGAGGAGGTTTCTCCTTCCCCGGGACTTTTTCTCCTCGCGGCAAATCACAGATCTTCCCTCATCCATCACGTCCGGCAACAACCGTCTACTTTTTCCTCGGGCCTCGTTTATCTCCGGACTTATCAAGCGTCTAATATATGTCTGGCGGAGCTGCAGTTTTCTTTTGTCAACCGTATGGTCTCCGACGGCGATTTTGGCCTTGGGTCTCTCCCGTAGCAATTTCACGTTGTCGAGGCATCCCTTTCTCTTGATACTTTTCTCTGCTCTGTCGTTGAATCTCCTTTTCTCTTCAACGCATACTCCTATTTTCTATGACCGCCTGTCTATCTGCCTGACTGCCTCTTTGCCTGTCTATCTATCTGACTATCCGTCCGCCGTCTGACCGTGCTCATGTCTCTCTCCTCTCTCTATACAACATTTCATAAGAAAATCCTGATTCTCTCCCCAGATCCCACTCTCCTTGAAGACCTCGCCCGCAACGGGGCAAGCGCCCTCCGAGATAACGGACAAAGCCTTCACAATGCCAATCTCGCCCTCCCTCATCCCGCACCGGCGTAAAAGCGACCCTGCGCCATCGCATGCTAAATCAGGTCGGGATATTCTGTCATGCTGGGAGCGCTCTGTTGGAATTTTTGCATGACATGAAAAACAACCATTTGAAGTCCGCTCCGTCACGCAATGCAACTGCCGCGGCGGATATTAGCCTCGCTGTTGTCTCTCATTTTATTTTCGCAAAACGCCCCCCTGCAAAACATTGTCATTGGTATATGATACAAGCACACAACCAAAGGCAAGCTAGTGACACGCATGGCGAATTATTTCCAAGCGTTCCTAGTATTATCTTGACGTCATTCTTATCGTCCTGGCGCCTGCGGGCTTAATCTAAACGTCCCCACGACATGACACTAACGACGCTAATTTCAACCTGCCCTCGGTCTAATGCAGTCTGCGGGTCATTGTGGTAGAAACGGACATGGCCTTCTGCAAACAAACAGAGGTGTCTCGCACGCTGGAATCGATCCTGGGTTCGAGTCGCTTGTTTCCTGGCCGCTGTTCCCTCTTCCCTATTACCTGTTCACTCTTCCCGTTCATTTCTGTTTCGCTGTTTACCGCCCATTGTTCCCCGTTCAGCGTTGTTCACATTCATATTCAGATCCAAATGTTTACCCTCACCAGAGCAACTCATCTGCGTCGGACAAGTTCTCCTCACCGTGCTCTCCCCTTAATTCCCATTATCTCCCCCTCTTCACCCTCCTCTTCACGTCCCCTCGTCTGAATCTGTCATTCTCTTCCCCTTTCCCTTCCCACTTCTTGTAGAGCATTACAATTCCGCAGCAATCTTCTTTTCTTCTGTGATCTATTTCTTCCTTTCGCCACATTTGGGAGGGGGGGGGGACGATACAGCGTACCTGCTTCTGGAATCAACCGAAATATTCTCCAGTGCATTCTCACGTCACTCTTATCTTCTCCTCTTTAACTTCTGGTCTCCCTGTCCCCGTCTTCCGATCAAATTCCATTTTCTGGTCCACCTGCCCACCCAGCTCTCCTTTTTCCCCCCCTTCCCCCCCTTCCACATCCCTTGTGACTCGCTATCACCCTCCCGCGCCCCGAACTTAACTTTATCTCCCTACCCTCATAATGGCGGCGCTTAGGGAAAGATTCTTTATCTCTGGCGTGTTTTCCTCGTTTCACTCTCTTCTGCCTCTTCTCTCCAACACTATCCTTTTTTCTCCCTCCTTCATTATCATCGACGTTCCTTTCTCACTCGAATATCATGTTATCCCTTCTCCCTACGTTTCTTTTATTCCACCCTTCGCTCTTACCTTCTACTCATCTTGTGCTTCCCCTCTTTCTCTTCCTCCCACGCATGCTCCTCATTTTCCTCTTCCCCCTCGCTTTCCTTGCATATTCATCTCCACCACCCCTTCCTTGTCTCCCCATTCTCTCTTCCTAGACCCCTACCCTCCCGCACCTCCGCCCCTACCTCTTTCCTCCATCCCATGAAGGGTTATGCTGACTGTCAGATGCAAATCTCTCTCTGCACCTAACTCAACGCAGTCTGCAATGCGTAGCGATCGTGATATATAGCACAAGAGGTTGATATAGTATGCAAGATGTCATGGAAAGTTACGCATGGTATACAGCAGTTTAGAACAGACTATTGAACTATCCTATATAAATTGATTGCTAAAATAATAAAAAAAAAACACTAGGGATGAACATGGCAATGTGTACTGCACTTAGAAGCAAAGAGGTAGATGAATCATGATTATCAATACAATTTTCCCATCTATCTGTGTACATTCCACTCCTTCCCCTTCTCCCTTTTCTTGAAAACTGTTTCATTATCTCAAATTGCCTCGCACATCTGCGAACTAAATCCAAAAACTATCGAGACTCAAGAGTGCTCGGAACATCTCTCTCTGCAAGCCTGCTGCTGCCGCCTCTTAATCTTGCTAAATACCCCTTTCCCAGAATGACATTTTACGCACATAATCACTGCTTCAAGCTCCCTTCGGGCTGCCAGCACCTCGCTCCACCTCTCTTTCTCTCTCGTTTAACTTCCTGCCACTGTTACTGCCTCTCACACGACTGGGTCTCCGTAGCCGTCGTGCCATCTGTCTCACTGATAAACACAAGTGTCGTTCCGGTCAGCATTAACGCTTTATTACCTGTCGTCGTAACCGTTTTCACAACCTGACCTTGTCGCTACGTACTATAACGACTCCCTGTTATCAGCTCACAAAATCACCATTAGTATAGGATTACTTCCATTCATGGGTACAGTAATCAGCATCATTAGCCTACTACAGCTGCCCGTCTCTGGCATTTATGAATACTATCACTCAATGGATTTAATTCTAAGAGACTGAACTCCCTAATGGTGTCAAAACCCCACACACCTATCATTAGAAAAAAAAAAGATCTGATGAGTCAACAATGACCGTAAATCTCACAAACAAACAGT